GAGATATTCAATAAAAGTTACCAGTGAATAGTAACTGCCATTATAATCCCTTTTTATTCTTTTCCCCCCAGCTTCCCAAGCTTATAAACCCCTTTTTATTCTTAAGGTATTAGAGATACTTGCCAACTTTTAAACTTTAGTGCCCCACTTCTAACCCTGTCCCCATCCCTCAAGAAAAATTTTACTTTCTGCTCTTGCATCCTTCTTTACCGTCTTCCTTCCTTTCAAATTTGCAATTAAAACATCAGATAAGTGAAGGCACACTGATGTCCAGTGGTAAAGGTACCAATTTAACAGTTAGATTTGGGTTTGAATCTTTTCTATCTCGGCCATTTACTAGTTCTGTGACCTTTTAGCCTCAATTTTCTTATCCAAACGATGGGACTGATAGTACCTATCTTAAAGGATTGTTATCTTATGGATGGTGTGACATCTACTCATTCCTTTGTTCAACAAAAACTTACTGAGCATCCATTACATGCCTAGCACTATGTCCAGCATTAAGTCTACAGCAGTGAACAGGCACTGGTACTGTCCTCATGGAGCTTATAGCCTAAGAGACCACAGTATTTCTAAAGCACAAAGACAAAATTTTAATTTTTTTAAATCATCTAAATAAAATAAATGTGTAAAGAGTCTCACACAATGCCTAGCAAATAGTAGGTGCTAAGTAACAGTATTTATTATTTTATAATTAAAACATCATAAGTCCTCATAGAACAATACACTGTAGAATTAGACAAATCTTTAGAAATCAAAAGGTCCAATTCTCTCATTTAATATATGAGCAGATTAATTAGCTCCATAATAAACTTATTCAGGACACCTATTCAGTCAGGCCATGTGCCAGCTGCTCAGGATACAACCATGAGTAAAATGCAGTCCCTACCTTACGTCAAGTAAATATGCAAAGGGAGAATGACTCGACTGAGGCAACCTAGTTCATCACTTAGACTGGAAATCATGTCTTCTAATTCTCAGCGATTTGCTCTTTCTACTGACTCAAAAGTATTCAATTAAAAAAAAAATACTTAGGAAGAAGCCTACCACTGTGCCAAAGAGAGTGCCATGCTACAGCTCAGCGGTTCCTCATAAGTAGCTTGTCAAAAAGGCGGCTGATCCTTTTTTTTCCTCTGTAACAGTCCATAGCACACAGCAGTTGGGACCTCAGGGGTCCCGGTAAGAAGTTACAGAAAGACACAGAAAAATAGAATAAAAGCCTGAAACCCCTAGAGCCACTGGCAAAGTAAAGAAAAGGTAGAGTAAGGCCAGACCAAGACCCTCCTCCCTTATCCCAGAGATTAAGTCATGCTCCCTCCAGACTAGCACCAGCTGCAGAACTCTACCTTTGTCCCTCTGGGCCACCCATCCCCTGCCCCATGCAAGGGCCCTCTTTCGAGTTTCAACATTGAACTCCATTTAATGGGAAAAAATATATATATATATAGCACTAGGAAGCAGAAAGAATACACCATGGAGTTCCAGAAACCTGGCTGAAACTGGCTCCACCACTAACTAGCTGAATGTTTCTTAACTGGTCTGTTTCTGCATTTGGAAAATAGTGACAATACTTACTTCTGGGAGCTGTGGTGAGCATTAGAGATGTGTCTAATGTATCTAGATGTACCTAGAAAAATGCCTGGCAGGCATCGGTTACTCAATAAATGATGCTATGATTACTTATGAATGACAAGGTCTCCCTTGTCTGCCCCATGCTCTAGTCACTGCAGGCTTCAGCAGCACAGCACAATTTAAGACTGCCATAATAATATGGAGTATTCAAAGAAATGTGGCACCTTCACTAGCTACATTACATCTCAATCTCCTCCCTTCAACCTATATCAGCTCAGGTCTCCACTCTACCCCTCCACCTTTAAAAAAAATAAAATCTTTGAACCTGCCTCCTCTGCTGCCTCTTCAAAATACCATCCTCTTTCCTTCCTTCCCTTGCAACTATATTTCTCAAAAAAGTCTTTTGTTCTAGATCTTCACCTCATACTCACTCCCTAAGCCACAGCAGTCTAGCTTCCGTCCCCACCCCTCCACTGAAACTGCTGTTCACCATGGTCACCAATGACTCAGTAGCCTCATTAGAGGCTCACCCTACTTGTTCTCTACTACAATAGACACTATTGCTTTCTTTTAGCAATGCTTCTCTTCTCAGAACAGTTTTAGAGCTATATTCAGGAAGAAAAAAAAAAAAAAAGAAGCCCTTCTCATTCCTGGCTTCTCAGTTAGTACTTTCTCTTACCTCTCTGATTGCCCCTCCTCAGGCTCCTTCCCTAACTTTTCTGTCTATATATACCAGAGTTCCTCTGTGCTCTATCCTCAACCCCCTTCCTTTCCCCATTTTATAAAGTTTACTCAGGTGGATCTCATCTACTTCTACAGTCTCCACTATTTCTTGGATGACATCATTCCCATGTCTATTCCTACCTCCCTCAGGAACTCCAAAACTCATGTCTTCTCCCCCAACTACCAGATATTTTCTAATGGATATCACCCATAATCATCTCAAAACCAACATTAACTTCCCCAGCTCTCTCTCTTGTATTCCATGTGTTAACAGCATCAGAGTAATGCCCAGTAACCCAACACTACCTCCTTCATCCTTTAGTCACACAATTTAAACCAACCCCCATGATCACTAACCTGGTTCCAGCCTCACCATCTGCTACTGCAAATCTTCTGGCAGGCTTCCCTGCCTCTAGTTCTAATCTATTCATCCTAAGCACAGGCATATAAGAGATCTTCCTAAAAAAACACTCTGGTCATGTCACACCCATCCTTAATATTGACAATAAAGCTCAACTACAGTAAGATTTAAGCTTTTTACCACAAAATACAAGGTCATTCAGGATCTGGCCCTTCCCACACATCTGGCTTCATCTCGTGCTACTCCCTCCAAGTAGTCCAACCTCCAGTTCAGGGAACAACTCGTCATTCACTGAATATGCCATGCACTTCCACAATCACACTGCCCATTCACTGAATATGCCACAGGGCACTCTGTCTGGCACAACCCTGGTCATCCTTAGAGGGTGGCATCTTTGATGGCTTCCCTGAGATTCTCTTGCTAAGTATTTAGACCCCCTTTCCTTTCTCTCCAACCACATTTTCTATGTTCTTCCTCTATTGTAGCACTCGTGACACTGTATAGAGTGCACTTGTCATGGGAGTCAACCTGCAGGTTGTTCATGGACACAGACTATGTCTTTCACATCTCTGCACCCCAGCCCACTTGCCCAACCTCTCAAGATAAGCAACCAGACTATCAGTCCTAATAGGGGATACTCCTCCTATAGCAGGAGAACAAACTCTAATGACAACAGGAAGTCTCAACAGGTTCAACTTCCCCTCTTGCAAATGCTTCCAGATGGATTGTGACCCCACAAGAGCTATTTCTGACCTGATTCCTGGGGCCCCTATGCCTGGAACAGCCTGTTCAATAGAAAGAGGAGAGCTTCCTGAAGATTAAAATTCTTTGGAAAATTATTTAAAAAGGGCTGAGCTGATAGGTAGGACTGCCAACTGCCAGAGCCATCTCAGGAAGTAATTTGTGAAATAACTCCAAGACCTTTATACATCTTCCACAGCAACTGAGATGGTTATACAACACCCTGTGACTGGTCTTCTTGCCTTTAATCAAGCCTTGGGAAACTGTCCTGCATACAAACAAGTTGCTTCACTAGGCAGAAATCTATAATGATTTCTCACTGCTTAAAACTGTATACCACAGTGATTAGGAACAAAGACTCTGAACACTTATTACCTGGACCTGAATCCCCACTTCTACCTACCACTTATTAGCCATGTGAGTTTGGGCAAATTATTTAAGTTCTCTAGGCCCCAGTTTTCCCATCTTTCAAAGAGTAAAATAATAATACCTACTCTCACAGGGTTGGTACAAAGATTAAATAAGCTAATCTAAATAAACTACTAATAAAAATTAAATAAGCTTAGCATTAAAAATGTAAAGAATAGTACCTGGCATGTGGTAAGTACTTAAATAAATTATATATTTAGTTCCAAACATATTCAGGTTCCAAGTCCCTCTGTCATTCATAGCCTGAGATGTGAAATGTTGCCCTGTCCCGTTTCACATTCCATAATCCACCAGCTCCCAATCCTTTAACTTCTGACCATTATTTATGATCCTTTGCCTCTACCCACAACACCAATTGCCATCTGCCCAGCTCCTCCTTCTGGCAATGCTACCTTTGGCTGCCAAGGAATTAACACCTTAAGCAGAGTCTCACAGGTGGTATCATGCCTAAGAGCAGTACAGGATACCATCTTCTCCCGAGCATTCTATTCCCTATGTCAGGGGTCCCCAACCCCCAGGCTGCAGACCATATAAGCCCATGGCCTATTAGGAACCAGGCCACACAGAAGGAGGTGAGCAGCAGGCAAGCGAGCATTACCGCCTGAGCTCTGCCTCCAGTCATATCAGTGGCAGCATTAGATTCTCACAGGAGTGCAAACCCTATTGAGAACTGCACATGTGAGGAACTTAGGAATAAGGAGCACATGTGTGCTTCTTATAAGAATCTAATGCCTGATGATCTGAAGTGGAACAGTTTCATCCCAAAATCATCCCCACTCCCAACCCAGGATGGAAAAATTGTGTTGCATGAAAGCGGTCCCTGGTGCCAAAAAAGGTTGGAGACCACTGCTCTATGCTCACTCCTACCTTCACTCAGGTCATTTTCACAATCTAAATGCCTCCCTGAGCTTCTGCAGTATATAAACTTTAAATAGAGTTTTAAGGACTAGTTAATACACACCATCCCAGGAAGCTACAGTAACTCATAAAAACATCTGCCTTCCCTTAACTACTAAAGTCCCAATCTGTAACTTACACTTCCACACTCACATCTAATCATCTCTATTAGATTAAGTTCCATGAGGCAGTGTCTGGTTTTCCATCACTACATCCCCATTACCCAAGAACAATAAATGTTTAAGAAATGTTGGGGGCCACCCACAGTAGCTCATACCTGTAATCCCAGCACTTTGGGAGGCCAAGGTGGGAAGATTGCTTGAGTTCACGATTTTGAGGCCAGCCTGGGCAGTGTGGCAAAACCCCATCTCTATAAAAAATACAAAAATTAGCTGTGCATGGTGGCACATGCCTGTAGTCCCTGTTACTCAGGAGGCTGGAGCCTGGGGCCAGGCTGGTCTCGAACTCCTGACCTTAAGTGATCACCTGAGCCCAGGAGGTCAAGGCTGCAGTGAGCCATGACTACACTCCAGCTTGGGCACAGAGCAAGACGCTATCTCAAAAAAAAAAAAATGAAGAAGGCTTAGGCCAACAATAAATGCCCAATTAGCTAAAACTACTACCATTGAGTCTGAGACATAACCAGGGACTGGCGGATTAAGCAACATCTCTAGCTTTCTACAACAACACGGAGAAAATCATATCAGCAATCTCATAAGGCTGTTGTGAACATAAAGATTAATCTATGTTGAACACTTACAAGATTTTCTGATACATAATAAGTTCTCATTAAGTATCTCATTTTCTTTTTGAAAAGGAGTCTTGTCAGCTAAAGGACAGCTAGTCATACTACTCCTCCAAGTCATACTAATAGAAAAGCAGGGGGCCACACTGTGTTCATTTACCTAATTGTGTTGTGTTCTGTGGAACACTGATATCTTATAAACTGTCAATAGGTGTTTTTATGCTGGGCGAGGGGGCTCACGCCTGTAATCCCAGCACTTTGCGAGGCTGAAGTGGGCAGATCACGAGGTCAAGAGATGGAGACCATCCTGGCCAACATGGTGAAACCATGTCTCTACTAAAATACAAAAATTAGCTGGGCATGATGATGCATGCCTGTAGTCCCAGCTACTCGGGAGGCTGAGGCAGGAGAATTGCTTGAACCCAGGAGGCAGAAGTTGCAGTGAGCCGAGATTGCGCCACTGCACTCCAGCCTGGCACCTGGCAACAGAGCAAGACTCTGTCTAAAAAAAAAAAAAAAAAAAAAAGTCAATAGGTATTTTTTGAGGATAAAAAAAGATTACATGTGCAGAAAAATGTAGGAAACCCTGCACACTTTTCCTTGTCATATTAAAGGCTCCTAGCTTTTCCTAGCTTGATCTCAAAGATCTTTTACTGAGTAACAATAATAATGCCATTTCACGTGATACTGACATTCCGAAGAACACTTGTTATGTTATGTTTGCTATGCTATGCTATGCTATGCTATGCTATGCTATGCTATGCTATGCTAGGCTAGGCTAGGCTAGGCTAGGCTATGCTATGTTATTTTTTTTTTTTGAGGCAGAGTTTTGCTCTGTCGCCCAGGCTGGAGTGCAGTGATGTGATCTTGGCTCACTGTAGCCTCCACCTACCAGGTTCAAGCGATTCTCCTGCCTCAGGCTCCTGAGTAGCTGGGACTATAGGTGTGCACCACCATGCCTGGCTAATTTTTGTATTTTTAATAGAGACAGAGTTTCCCCATGTTGGCCAGGGCTGGTCTCAAACTCCGGACCTTAAGTGATCTGACTGCCTCAGTCTCCCAAAGTGCTGGGATTACAGGTGAGAGCCACTGTGCCTAGCCAGAACACTTATTATATTTTAAATCAATGCACTGGACCAGGCACAGTAGCTCATGCCTGTAATCCCAACATTTTGGGAAGCCAAGGTGGGAAGATTGCTTGAGTCCAGGAATTCAAGACCAGCTTAAGCAACATAGTGAGAAGCCATCTCTACAAAACATAAAAATATTAGCCAGGCATGGTGGGATGTACCTGTAGTCCCAGCTACTTGGGAGGCTGAGGTGGGAGGATTGTTTGCACCTAGGAGACTGCAGTGAGCTGTGATCACATCCCTGCACTCTAGCCTGGGCAACAGAGGGAGAGACTCTGCCTTGTTTGCTTGTGGGGCAAAAAAAAAAAGCAAAAAAAAAAAAAAAAAGAACTGTACAAATATATAAAAGTACTGCTATTCTACAGTTACCCAGTCTAGACAGGACCCTAAAGTAGTAAAGAATAGCAGGACTACTAAAATTACATTATTTTCTCCACCACAATAAGCTTGGAGGAAGAGGAGAGAAATAGACCAATTTTCCAAGAGGCCTGCTTTCAGCAGATCCAATGAAAAGGCAGCAGAGGAGAGAGGAGCCTTTATCAGGTAGCATTTCCAGGGGCTCACCAGAGATGGCTTTAGGGAACTCAAGCCAGATTTGGTTGTCATGAGATACAAAGTAACTTGACAGCTGCCCTCCTGGAAAGGATTAACTTGGTAGTTTTTACTCTGACAGAATTTTAGACCTGAAAGAAATATTTTGAAATCACTCTAGACAAAACCTCCACTTTATTGACAACAAACAACCCTAAGAGAGCCTCCCTAGCTTCATTTGTCCCAACTTGAGAAGGATATGGTAGAAACACAGATTAGATAGTGATAGTTATAATGGTTAACACTTAATGAGAGCTTATGTATCAAGCAAGCTGCTAGATATTCAACATAGATTATCTGATCTTAATCTTCACACAGCTCTATGAGATTGATTTTACAGTAATTTCCATGTCATAGATGAGAAAGCAGGCACAGAGAAGTTAAGTAACTTGCCCAAAGTACTATAGCTAGCATATAATATTATAGTGACGAGACCCAGGCAAGCTGACCCTAGGGCCCATGCTCTTTATTGAAAGTTTTCTGGGAAGACTTCTCCGATAATTTCTCCCACCACCAATGATTAAGGGGGCCCCCTAAGCTCCCATTGCCCCATGTCTCTATCTATCCCTATGCACCACTGCCTCTGTCATAGCAGTATCACCAAATTACACATTCTATGAGGGAAGAGATTACTAAATTTTATGCTTCCTTGCATCCCTTGTACCCACCTAGTGTTGCATCTGCAGCTCAGATGTTTCAGAATAAACAACTATCGAGAAATATAGTATAATGATGAAAAGACATGGGTTCTGAAGTCAAATAGACTTAGATCTGAATCCAGGCTCAGCCACTTCTTAGCTCTATGATCGTGAGTAAGTCAACCACTCTGAAGCACAGCTTCCCTATCATTAAAATAGAGATTAAAAAAAGAAAATTTTGAAATTTGGCTGAGTCTTAAAAAAAAAAAAAGAAGAAGAAAATTACCACGAAATGTGAGAAAACTAAACTAAGCACCTTATACATTGCCTAGTATATAAAACAATTTTATTTCCCATTCTCTTCCTTTCCCCTCGTCTCACATATAATGGAAGAAAGAGTACTATTCCAGGAATCCAGAGTCTAATTAGTTATATAAACTTAGTTAAGTGCATCTCCTGTCTGGGCTTTAATTTCTTCATCTACAACTTGTAGGACTGTTGGTTTGAAACTAAATAAAATGTGGGTAAGTGACCAAAAAGTACTACATGGATGGAAGGAATTTTTGTCATTCCACCTATCCAGCTTTTAAAATCAGCCCTGAACTACACTGAATAGAAATGTCTTGAAGCTCAAGGAAGAAGACCAATCTCTCAGAGGTCTAAAAGCTATAAAGGGAAGGAGTATCTGCACTGTCACTAGGAGAAGGAGCCAGTCCCACCAAGATGCTGAGACACTGCCAAGTGGCTTTGCTCCAGGAGTCCCAGGCTAATTAAGGCCTTGCTCCCCTGCCCTGTTTGCCTGTGACCCCCACAAAGGCTAGAGAACACCAAGTGCTCCACAGCAGTTCTTCTCTTGGCCAGAGGCACATATAGTATTGCTGGACAAGGATCAGCCAAAGCTATTGCTAAGAGGTTCCTGCCCTTGGCCTTCCTTAGAACAGGGTTGGCCAGGCACAGTGCCTCATACCTGTAATCCCAACACTTTGGGAGGCTGAAGCAGGCAGATCACCTGAGATCAGGAGTTTGAGATCAGCCTGGCCAATATGGCAAAACTCTGTCTCTACGTCAAAAAAATCCAAAAAATTTGGATTTTTGTATCTAGTAGCGTGGTGGTGAGTACCTGTAATCCCAGCTATTTGGGAGGCTGAGGCAGGAGAATCGCTTGAACTTAGGAGGCAGAAGTTGCAGTGAGCCGAGATCGTGCCACTGCACTCCAGCCTAGGCAACAAATCAAGACCCTGTCTCAAAAAAACAGCAAAAAAAAGAACAAGGTCAAAAACAAGGAGCCCTTCATTCTTTGTCCTGAGGTTATCAGCTCATGATTCCTAGGAATCAGCCCTAAACACAGCTACCAGAACCCCGAGCCTGGAACATGTCAGACGTGACTTAACTAAAGCCTGATCAGCCAGGCCCTTCAGACAACTGAAAGAGACCCTGAAGGCTGTGGAATAAGGGATAAGGAAAAGGGGCCCATGCTCTGCTAAGAGTGTCTAGTCGTAGATGCTTCCAAGGACACTTTTTGGGCAATTCTTCAGGCTGCATAGGCCCCAGGCACTTAACCACTTCCTCTGCTCATTAAAGCAGAACCCCCACTCCACCCCTTGGGACTCCCTCCCTCAAGCTCCTGGCTCTAGGTTAAGACAGTCCGCCCATCTCTCCCTTCAAAAGTTAAAACATGTGGGCCCTTTTTGTTGTAAGAGTTAACTGTTAAGTTGAGAAAGAATGTAAGCCAAAAAGTTGAAAACATATTACAAGTTAGTCACGGTCACTGTTCCCCACTTCATAGTTCCTGGTTCCTGTCATAACTGGTGCTGTCAGAGAACAGCTACAATAAAATAGTTTTCAAGACTTATTTTTAAAGAATGGAACACTGTTTTTCAAATAAAGTTCAAATTGTCCGGGCATGGTAGCTCACACCTGTAATCCCAGCACTTTGGGAAGCGGGCAAATCACTTGAGTTCAGGAATTCAAGACCAGCCTGGGCAACATGGCAAAACCCCATCTCCACAAAAAATACAAAAGTTAGCTGGGCATGGTGGTATGCGCCTGTAGTCCCAGCTACCAGGGAGGCTAAGGTGGGGGTAGGGCTTGATCCCAGGAGGTGGAGGCTGCAGTGAGCCGAGACCACTGCATTGCACCCTGGGTGACAGAGCCAGACCTCAGACCCTGTCTCACACCACTGCATTCCAGCCTGGGTGGCAGAGCCAGACCTCAGACCCTGTCTTAAAACAAAAGAAACAAACAAACAAAAACATTAATATATATG